CCCTTACTGAGAGCTCCTCTCAGCGCGAGCTCTGCCGGCTAAAGTAAACGCAGACTGCTCGTAATGTCGAGCGAAAAAAAGATAGACAGCTGTGAAACATAACTAGCTTTGTCTTTCTGTAGGAAACACACTTTAGATCTTTTTAGGGTAAGCGTTTGTGTGTCAGGAAAATCGAAAACAAAACCAACTGAAGCGCGCTCATTTCTGGCGCCCCACTGGATATACAGCGCCCTAACGCCTGTTTCACACCGCAAGCGTCAGCGGCGCGTGAGCAGAGCGTGAGCAGCACGTTTGTCGAGCAGTAGCAGCACGCAGGCGTTTGCCTTTCACACCAGTTGCGTCTGCAGCGCGCAGCTCTTCGGCAGCTGCTGCTGAGATCAACCTATCTTTGTCTATTCTATCTAGTTACCCATGTCTCTCTATATACAAATACACTTTTTAAACTTTTTCATCTGCACCAAGGCCCCACCTATGCTGTTTCGTTAACCTGCAAATATTTATTTTACAAATTTTATAGATCAAATAGTACTGTATGCTTCTAAAGCTAACTTATATGAGAAGTGTCTACAGTCAGAAGACAATCGCCTGTGATATAATGTCATTTGTTTTTTGATTATCAGGTTGCTCTAGACCTAGTTATAATCATATTTATACAATATAGTTATAATGATATTTATACACGATCAAACTTGTGTTAATTTCTCCGCTTCAGTGATGTCCAGCAGCAGAATAACAGCTCGTTAATTCATGCTCGTGCAGATGATGAGACGGACAAAAGTAATTAATGCATGCCATTCTTTTACTTATTTTCGTGTTGTCAGATTCACAGTGCAAACAGCTCCCGGTAGGAATAATTCGAGTGAACATAAAACAAAGCCGATTAAAACTTTCTTGCTCTGCTTAGCTGCACAGAACACAGCGAGCTCACATAATCCAGCATGCGTGTCGCACTACACTACCCACAATACACTGCGCTATGGACTACAAATCCCGTAAATATTCCATTTCCCCTCTCCTACAACACTAGTGTGCAACTTAAGCAAAACTGATAGTAAAATTGTTTTACATTTGGTTTTGTAGTTCGGGCCTAAATAAATGTTTGTTGCCGTTTTTAATCGTTTTAAGTTCATTTGAATGACTATATATAAACCATTTGACATTATTAACGCATTTATTGGGTAAAATTGCTACTTATTACTGTCATTCAATGTGTTTTGGTCATTCTCAATGCACTGTCACTTTAATTGAGCGTGAGCAGCGCGTCAAAAATAGACCCAGCGCCGAAACTATCGCTGCACTGCTGCTTCGGCGACGCTCACGCCTCGCTCTGACGCGCTGCTGCTGCGTGCGGTATGAAAGCTCTAATCTGTTAACATGGACGCCGAAAACACACGCGCTGCTCACGCTCTGCTCACGCGCCGCTGACGCTTGCGGTGTGAAACAGGCGTAAGCAGTTGCCTATGGTGCCTATGCCACGGGCCGGCCCTGAGTTGGCTGAGTGTTGTAAATAACGGCGCTCACCTCCCTCGCGACAGAGCGCATAGGAGATAAATGACGTCACTACATAATAACTGGTTATGGTTATTACTGAATCGATACCGAATTGTCCGCGTCTGCATCGCAGTGCACCGAAAAAACAATTAATTTTGACACCCCTAGCACTTAGCATCCCATATCATCTGATAATTGTAGGAAATAATCCGAAAAAGGAACTGACTGTGTAAAACCACATAAACAAAACAAAAATAGGATGAGTATGCTGTAGGGATGGGAAGATTAACCGATATGTATCGATACGCGGTCATGCGCGTGCACGATGCGAGTGCATCGGTTGAGCAGCAGAGGATGAATGAAATTTTGGAAGCAAATCGAGATGCATCGGTTTTTGCGAGATGCATCGATTTTTCCGAGATACAGCTTATATTTTAATATAGAATGTATTTTTTATTTATTAACAAGTGTTGTCAACCTGTTTTTGGCGCATAATTTAATCGACCTACATTAAGTAAGCCTTAGCAACGGATTTGCGGATGTGCACACACTACAACTCAGTGTATCAGGTGTGCGGATGAAGCTAGTGGAGCGCCCTCAGAAAGCGCGAGAAGCAAAACAAACATTTTATTCCCCACTGAGTTTTAAATCTAAAGTATGGCAAGCAACATTATGGATTTAAGGATGGACGACATGACAGGACAGATGCAATTTGCAAAATGTGCCGTGCATCTGTAAAATACGCGGGCAGTATGACTAATCTGAAATCTCACTTGAAGCGACGCCACGGTGTTGTTGTGAAAGCATCTTCCAGTGTTTCTGCATCCCCGGCTTTCGCACTGCTTCAACCAGCTCCAAAAGTGGTGAGAAAAGCATTGCAAGTTTTTTTTTTCCGTGCGCAACAGTTTTGTGCGCTCTACGCCAATAACGAATGCTATTGCATTGTTCATCTGCAAAGATATTCAGCCTAGTGTCACGGAGAACGAAGGTTTTAAACACCTCCTCCTGTTAATTTTTATTTAATTATAATAATAATAATATTAATAATAATAATGATAAAAATAATTGGGTGTCACGGTGGCACAGTGGGTAGTTTGACCACCTCACAGCAAGAAGATTGCTGGTTTGTTATATTTTTATTAGCCTGTTGTTTACAGTGACAGTGATGTTTCAAAGCAGCATAACACTGCTAGTTCACAACCTTAAGTTTTGAATAATCAGTGGCAAAATATATCTTTGTAAAACTTGTTTTCATAGTTGAAAAGTTGAATCACAATTCTTGTTGTGCAATGCTAAATTTATTTATGTTGAAAGAGTGCAAATATATACATATTTTTTTAATATATATTGCACTTATACATTCTGCTTATCTTGAAATTACTTAAATAATATGTGCTATATGTTCTAAAATGGCCCTCTACTGTAAACTGACACTCTGGCTCTGAGAGAAGAGCCAGTTTGTAAAAAAAAGTCTTGGTTTTGCTTGGTTAATAAATAATCAAACTCATTCAATGGCACAGCATCCTCTTTCACATCATCTCATAAACTTGATCTAATTAGTTAGTGCTGAAATATCGCATCGTATCGTGATATGGGTGTGAATCGTATCGTGTTGCATCGCAATATGTCACAAATGTATCGCTAATATATCGGATCGTATTCTTTGTATCGAGATGCGTATCGGATCGGCATTATAGCTTAGATGCCCAACCCTAGTATGCTGAAATCAGTGGCTAATCTGCCGGTGTCAGCGGAGGTGAAGTGACGGCGACCAGCGAGACCTAAGTTAGCTGTCAATCAATTGGCCACACCCTTATTTATGCAAACTTAATATTACCTAATATTAAGGAAACTGATGAGTTATAAAAAAAAAAAATTCACCCCCCTCACAGTTGTCATAAAGGGTAATATTAGCTTTATGAACCCAAACCGTTCTTTGTACCAGGCTGTAAACACCTTTTTTTCTGCTGTAAAGTTGGCCATTTAAACAGTGGGCTCAATTAAACTTTGCTATATTATAGAGCCAGAACTTGCGGAATTTCGATGAATTGCAGTTTCAGTTACTTCCTTATTGGCCTCCCGAGGGAGAGCTGGAGGTTAACTTGACACCCTCTACATAACTACATAACTTGACACCCTCTTACGTTGCTCTCTAACGATGGACTTTTAGAATTTCACACTAGAAAGTTAACGTGATCTGGCTGCACCTTTTAGTTACTATGCTTTAAAAATTTGGAATTGTGTCTAATACAGTGAAAGAATCCTCTAGAATTTATGTTTTTAAAAAGCTCATTAAGACATACCTTTTTAAAATTGCACATGAATATAATAGTAAAGTATCTGTATTTTATGTATATATGTATATTGTGCAAGCGTGTGCAATGTATGTAAATTTAAATTGAACCGTATATGAAACAGAAAACTACACTCTCACTTAACTTAATGTATCCTTGCTGAGTAAATATACATTCATTAAAATATCTCACTGACTGTAGTAGTGTACTTGACCATTTAGGCATTGTAGTCTAACAATAAATCTTGAAAAAAAGGTTAAACAAAAGTATTTGTCATCACATCTGTTTTTAGCATCGATAATATTCAGAAATGTTTCTTGAGCAGCAAATCAGCATTACTTGATAATCACCATTATACTAGTTTAGCCTCAAGCACTAAATCCACATCTTAGAAAGATTTTTGAAGGATCAAGTGACACTGAAGATTTGAGTGGTGATACTGAAATTCAGCTTAACATTACAGCTATAAATACAATTTACAGTCACATACAAATTACATCTATATTTACATTATTGACCCATACCTCACAACTTAACTCATCCTTAAATGAGTGCATTTGAACCATACATTTATATTTTTTATTTGTTCAGGCATGATATGCAACTCGTATTCAGTTCAGTCATGTTGTGTTTTTTCTCACTTTTACTTTTGTTTTTAATATCAACTAACAAGGAGGTCAAAGGTTAATCTAAGAACCCTTTAGCTGCTAAACATCTTTATGTAAGTATATTTTTGACTGACTGCTAGACACTTGTCAGACAGTGATGAGCAACAGATGGGCTTGTAAATACAAGATCAGTGAGATGTATGTCCTGAGATAATTATGGATATAAATTCAAAAAGAATTTATTTTGAAATATTGCATAACATTTTGTGATGACAGTTCAATTGTTCTCCATCAAAACAAATGTAGTATCCATCAATACAAATGTAGTATAGTAAATGTAGTTCTGTTTAGTAACAACACTAATGAGCGTAAAAAATCAAATCAAATCACAGTCTGATTTCATTTAATGGCTAGAATCTTATGGGGTAAAAAAACACACGCCTGACACTTGTAGATTTGTAGACACCTTTCAAAAATCAAATAAACAAAGCAAAATATAAAGTAAGTTAATGAAATAAGACACAATATCGTGCATTCCTAAAAATAAATAATACAGCCCTGCACTAACACAGCATGGCAAAAATGTAAGTTCATGCCAACTTCCTACCTCATCAGGGAAGTCTTTAGGGTGTGGTGAGGTGAAGCGTATCCTCATATTTGGATTGATAAGGGACACTCTGTCCAGAAGGTCTGCAAAGCGAAGACCTCCCTGTTTTGTGCGATATACACTCTGAAAGCCTCTGCTGAGTTGAGTGTTTCTCTCAGAACAGGAGAACTGCAATTTAGACAGGTCTCTATAGCTGTTCACATTCTGCCCAAGAAGGGTGATCTCCTTTACTCCCTACAAACAAACACATTGTCTTAAAAACAAATACCTGAAAAGGAGCCACAGGATTATACAATTATTATATTTTTATAACATAGTATTGTAAACTCCACCATTCTACCTGATCCGAAAGCATGCGAACCTCCTCCACAATGGAAGACATGGGTCTGCTCCTCTCTCTGCCACGAGTGAAAGGCACTATACAGTAACTACACATGTTATCACAGCCACGCATGATGGACCTACCATACACAAAACAAGACATTTTCTTTGATTTATTGTTTTAACAGACTTTAGTGATGGTAATACAATGAATCCATGTTGAGCAAAAAAATAAAATACTATACAGTATTGATCCTATCAATGAACCATTTCCTTTAAGTGTGAAAATCTAAAAACAATAAAAAACCTTCTTATGTGTTCACAACTCACACACATTCACCATTTTCAGCAGTTACACAAACTGTAACTATGTTAAATTGGAATAATTTTATTTGTATGGTACATATTATTAATCTTGTAATTAATATTGCCTATAGCAATTGTGGATATTTGCATGTAGCTAACATGTTCAGCCCAGGTTTGATTCTAAGGCAGAACAATGGTAACTAGATTATCAAAGTTTGTAGAGACAAACTTTGAGGCTGGCTTGAAAAAAGCCTATTGGTAATAGTACGTACGTACGTACGTACGTACGTACAGACAGACAGACAGACAGACAGACAGACAGACAGTCTGATGCAGAGTTATGAGGTCACAAAGTTTGATCCAATGTTAAAGGTGCAGTAGGTGATGGTCTTCAGAAACATTTTGTGTTGTGCTGGTTGAAAGTCTCTTCACAGTCCAATAGTAATGAATACTGTAAATGATCTAAACGTGTTTATATGTATTTTTATATTCTGAGTAAGGCATAAAACAAAAAAATTGTTCATCCAATTAAATAGAGTCGGAACGACATCACCATAATTCTGATAAGCAGCTCAGACTGTCTGTCAGCAAATGTAGATTTGGACTTCTGCCCATCTGTTCACGCAGATCTGCCATTCGCGCGTGCACATCTGCATAAGCGGCCGCACAGTCACGAAACAGAACGGGAGAAATCAAATGCTGAATTGAAACTTTAAAAAACCTGAATCAATATTGGAGTTACTTTAGCACGCTCGAGGAAGGACGACACCATGGCTGAAGTATTACTGTTAGACAGGTAATGTTCTGTTTTAAAACTATTTTAGTCAGGCTAAGCTTATGTTAGATTGTTTTCTGTTATGTATGACTTATATGCACAGACGTGTTGTTCAGCCACTGAAATCTCCCGGTGAAAGATTGATGTGATTATTTTCAGTTTCATAAGGTCCTTTTACAGCATCGATAATGTAGATTTAGATTTATTTTACAACAAAACATCAGTAAATAGCGCTATTCCGCCTAACCTGCTTTTTTTGAGCTGAAGTTACTTTTATATTCACATTTGGTCATTTTTGAACAATGACAGCCTTTCTATATACTGTTTACCATGCTTCTCTGAATATTCGCTCTGAAATAGCATGCAAGTGTGGCTAAGTAATAAATGTAATTCCTGCAAGGCGCTGGCACTAACTGTGAGGTAAAAAAAATTATCACATGTGATATTGTGTCCGGGCAACGCAGTGGCGCAGTAGGTAGTGCTGTGGCCTCACAGCAAGGTCACTGGTTTGAGCCTTGGCTGGGCCAGTTGGCAGTTCTGTGTGGAGCTTGTATGTTCTCCCTGCATTTGTGTGGGTTTCCTCCAGGTACTCAGGTTTCCAGTCCAAAGACATGCAGTACAGTTGAATTGGGTAGACTAATTTGTCCATAGTGTATGAGTGTGTGTGTGTTCGAGTGTGTATGGATGTTTCCCAGAGATGAGTTGCGGCTGGAAGGGCATCCGCTGCGTAAAAACATGCTGGATAAGTTGGCAGTTCATAGCGCTGTGGCGACCCCAGATTAATAAAGGGACTAACCCGAAAAGAAAATGAATAAATGAATGAATGAATGAATGATATTGTGTCCACTGAGTCAGGTCCAGGACAACTCTCATCCCTTGATTTTTCTCAGGGGCTCCTCCATCAAGTTTTTGTGTACACTTGAAAGTTCCAAGCATATCAGGAAGTGGCATCATAGGCAGCCTAGATCCTTATACCATAATTTGCAGGTTTTGATGGTATATACTGCCTAAAGGGAAGCGGTCTCTAAATGGCATCAGCTGCTCATCAATGGTGACATTAGGCCCAGGGTTGTAAAATTTCTTGGTCAAGAAGACCATTCAATTTCACCATTTTTTGACGTCCACATTTCTTCTCTTACTGTCTGGTGGGCCTGGAACTGGCTGCTGACAAGCTGGTAATGGAGCTGGCTGCTGATGGGGTAGTCAGCTTCGTTTTGTTACTAAATGGTGCTCAACCTCATTCTCTTCTTCAAAGTCGTCAGACTCTTAATTTTTTAGAAATGTGATGCTCATATTCATCAGAAGCTCCTCTCTAGTCCAGTGGACCCGAACACCTTGTATGTAATGTAAACGCGTGGGGGGAGGTACATTATGCGATCATTGAAAATTTCTTCGGATTTATGTTCTTCACAGAAAATAAGTCAAAGACACTGAATTTCAGGTAAAAAAAAATGATTATGAGGTCACAAGGTTTGATCCAATGTAAAGTCTATGGGATTTTTCCGACAGTCAGATGTTTTTCGGAAAACTGAAAGTCAGATCAGTTGGAAAAGATATGGCATACTAATCAGACCAGTTTGGAGGTCTGGACCAAGTTTGGTGGCCATAGCTTGAAAGCTCTAGGAGGAGATAAAGTTGCAAATTTAGTCTCAAAAGAAGAAGAATAAATAAGTAAATAAAAAAAATTAAAAAATAATAGTAAGATTAGAAAGGATTTCAGTAGTCTGGCTAGTCTTGTAACAGCAAAAACAAGAGCTGTGTAGTGGGTGAGCTACATGCACAAGTGTAAAAAAAAAGCCATATGCACAACTGAATCTGCTTAACTGTACAATTAAATAGATAAAATCCAATGGTATTTAGCAACAGTTCTTAATGGCCTGTTTCCACTGAGTGCTACAGTTCATTAAGTTTCAGTATGCTTTTATGGCCGTTTCCACTGTCAAAAGGTACCTAAAAGTGAACCGTACCATACCACTTTTTGGTTACCCTTTGCAAAGGGTGCCTAGCAGGACTTAAGGGTACCAAAAGGCAGAGCTAGACTCACAGCTGTTTACAGAGATATGTCACTCACTCGTGGACAAGCCAAAATAAAAACAAAGGAACTGTCACATATTAAATACACACCCAAGACATTATACCATAATAATATATACATATAATAACAAGCCATGGTCGACCTGATGTCGTCCCGACCTGGTTGTCTTGATGAACAGCCACAAAGCCAAAAATAACTAAATTTGCTAATTTGCTATTGTTGTTGTTTAACGAGCCCGTCTAAAAGTGTGAGCGGTTTCACCAGAGAGCTCGCCGCGCGTCTATATTTGAAATAAAAAACTTCTTGAGCTTATATTAATAACGTGCGCGTGATTATTGAAGTGCTTCTGATATCTGATCCTTTCAGAAACGAACAAACGCAAGACTGACGCATGAAAAATTAAAGATTGTGTTGGTGACGATTAAAGATACACATGACGGGTTTGCACTGACTGGGCTATTTTTTGTGTTGTTTTTGAACCCAAAAAAGGACTAAATGTATGCTGTGTCAGTAGGCATGGGCCGGTATAAGATTCTGACGGTATGATAACCTTGGATCAAAATATCTCGGTATCATGGTATTGTGATTACTGCTTTAAAATATGTATAAATATATATATATATATTTTTTTTACAAGTCTGGCTAAAAAAACTTTTTTTTTTTACTTCTGCTGTCTTCATTTGTTTCAAAAACAGATTTCTTTACCATTTAAAATGGCATCTTTGGATGGAGATACTGTTGTGTAAAAAAAAAAGGAAATAAAAAAATCTTACACATACCTTGGGAACGGTATTACATAAAATGTTTCAAAACCTTGACTTTTCCAAACCGCGGTATAGCTTGAAAACCATTATTGTCCCTTAGCTGTGTGTAGTGTTTTCTGTAATTGGTACCATATCAGAGAATGTAAGGGTCTGTATGTGTTCATATTGCATTTATTTTTTTTTTCTTCATATAAAATCACAAATGTTGCAGTAGTCTATTTTGCACCAACATTGATCTGCAGTTATAATGAAACCATGTTCATAGAAATGTTAGTAATGAACATTTATACACAAGTATTTATGTGTATAAAGCATCTGTTTTGTGAGTAGTGCTTCTCATATGATATGTGAACAGTCATTACTGCTTTACTTTGACATATTCTATAATGAGAATGACATTGACTGAAACATTCAGACATACACCATTGGTTCCCTTTACGCAATGGGAACGCAAGCCAGATAAATGTGACCCAGTCAGTGGAAATGAGCCATAGTTGTTAAATGCAAGTACAGCAGACTAGAATCAACTTTTAAACAGAAAAATAAATGTTTAATAGCTTTCAGGATTTCAGATAATTCAGATTAAACAAAGACAATTTTGCATAATGGTCAGTGCAAAACACCATAATGCAAATATGTCCTATGAGCAAATAAACAGAAATCATTATATTCTGGTGCTACCATCTGTAAAGTTTCTCACTGCATTATTATTTGAGTCTAGAGCCCTGATTAAACATGCAGTAAGACTCATAATTCTTACCTCTCCTATAACTACTTTTCTCACCAATACCATCACAATGTTTTAATTATCTGCCTACTATTTCTTTCCTGTTGGCTAGTACTCTTGTGGACACCCGTTACACCTGATTAACTGAAGTTGAAGCTGACGCAATCATCATAGCAGCATCAGCCAATGAGATTAGTCCGCAATCGACGACTGTCCGAGCTGGTGTATTTGAATAAAGCGATCTGGTTGGCTGACGCGCCCATAGGTGCTTGAAAACTTGAGAAATTCCCAGCTTCTGCAGTGAGCAATGCCACTGAAGCGGCACCGACAGATTCACAATGTGGTTCGGCAACGCCTGACATCACCCATTGAAAGTGAATGGGAAGCATTGGCGCTGATGCCCCATGTGAATGGGGCATTAGTGATAACAAGCTGCTTTAGCTTAGATCAACTTACCTTACTTTTAGCAGGCCAGTCTGCAGTTCTAAGCTAAAGCCATATCAAAAATGGTTTAAAGGGGATCTTCTGGTTGGGTAATTTTAGCAAGCTTTGCAGCTCAAATTTACAACTTTTTTAAGGTCCCCAATCCTATGGCTGTGTAACTCAGATTAACAAATAATCTGCAATGAGTTCACCCAGTATATAACATATTATCCATTACACATATCATTCATTCTTCAAATCACTCCCTCTCTGCTCCCTCTTCCAACTATTTTTGTTAAGAATGGTTCTATGTACAGGGTCAAGAGGACATTAGGCACCGTGGTCAAGGTCATCGGATTCTGGTAGACTGGGAGGGATACGGGCCAGAGAAGAGAAACTGGACCAGCCCGGGACACACTGGACCACTCACATATATCGATTGACTTTTTCCACTTCTGCAAATCACTCTCCTCATGAGCACCAGGTGACAGTCATCAGGTAGGCATTACTGTCTTAAGTTGGGTTTGTGTTTTTCTCAGGCTACTCTTTTTTTTTTCTTCTTCTTCTTCTTCCTGTTGGCTTATGCACCCATGTACATGTTAGTGATAACAACTGGAATATTTCACCTGTTTCTGTTCACTCTGATCAAATCATTATTTAGTCCATCATGAATCCCCTCTTACCTTGATTATTTACAATTAAAACCAGAAGTTTACATACACTCTAAAAAAAGAAACATAACCAGTTTTTTAAAAATGTCTGATGGTAAATCATACTAAACGTTTACTATTTGCGGATTGTCTTCATTCTAAAACGCCGTTTTAAAACTTTAACGCACTAGTGTAAAAAGGGCCTTAGTTCCATCAGACCACAGGACATGTCTCCAAAAATTATAATTTTTCCCAGTGTAATTAAGAAAATTGTAATCAGGCTTTTTTTGTTGATTCTGGCTTGTTGATTTTCCCATGTTGTCACAAAAGGAAGCAGAGTGTTTGAGGTTTTCCTTAAATACCATTCTACAGTTATGCCTCCAATTAACTCAAATGTTGTCAATTTGCCAATCTGAAATTTCCAAAACCTTGACACCATCATCTGAGCTTTTTCAGAGACATAATAATCTTATTGTATGTAAACTTGACTTTAAAGAAAAGTAATAACAATTTCTCAAAAAATATCTCTCTCATTATTTTGCTATTAAGCATAACAGAAATAAATTTGATAATCCTAACTTACCTAAAGGAGAAAAAGTTTAGTAACATTAACATCTGACTTTTTATTATTATTTTTTTTGTATGTGCCTTTTAAACAGTGTGTGTGTAAACTTCTGGTTTCAACTGTATCTAGGGTTTTTCCACACATTTTACCCTTGGTCACAATAAAGCCTGGATAAATGAAAACCTGATTATCTATAATCACATTTCACACTCATAACATACCTGGGGTTAACAAATAATCGTGTGTATTCTTTAACAGATGTTTCAAACTAAACTTCTAAAAGCTAGGTTAACATTCTTTTTTTTTTAATATTTGCAGTTTGACTTTGGAACCTTTTTACAACTTTTTTTCAAGTGGAATAGCATTTCAGGGCTCCATTGCACTGCTACTGTGCTGAAGAGTTTGAATGACAAGGATTACTCTTCATTATTTTTTTATTGCCATTGATATTTGCAATATTGACTATTGCTTTCAGTTCTAATGTTTTTAAATGTTTAAAAGATTAAGCTTAAAAAAAGCTTTGGAATTTCTTTCATTTCTTTTGAAACTACAGAATGAACTGCCATTTACTAATACGCAAAATTTACTGACATAAAATAAAGCATTACTTACACAAAGGCACTGTGCCCCTCCAGAGTCTGATGGACAGGAATGACATCAGCATATGTCTCCTCTAATGATAATAAGACATTGCTAGCCCGCTGGCCTCCATGAGCAAGAGACAATAACCGAGGAAGATCTCTGTATGCATCTGGCCCAGCTAGTACATCCACCAGTTTCTCCTGGTCAAGTAACTCTGATTTCAGTCTTTCCGCCATGCATCCTACAAAAAAATCATAACATATATGCAGTAAGGTTTGTCAAGAAGGATGGCCATGTTATGGAACCATAATAGTGACAATTCGGTTCCCTCTCAATCTATCACTACTGATTAGAATTGAACGACAATCACAAACCAATGGAAAGCATATGAATGTGGGGAGTGCAGCTCTTACAGGTTTAGACACTCTGCAATTAGGACTGTAAAGGGTTGTCTGGAGAGAAAGCTTGTTAGACATTGCTTCAATCCTTCATTCAAGACTTTACAGAAGCAACAACTTATCATGCATGCAAAGAGATTCAATGGTATATGGTGCGTACAGATTGGTTATCTGGGTTTCCCCATCCCTGGGCACTTCCATGGCACCCCGCTCCTTCAGTGCTTCACAGCACCCGCAAAGTAGTCTATCAGAGCAGTTTCCTCTAAAAGAGCAAACCAGTCGATGAACACATCTTTTTAAAGATGTTGTCTCAATCATGCATTTCTCGATGTGGTGGTTTATTGCCACTGGAGGATGGTCATGAGCATAGTGTAGCATGTCTGGGCATCCATCATGAGAACTTGGTCAGTGATGATGCTGAGTTCAATCACTGTCCATTCAAAACATGTAGGTTTTTTATGTTGCTCGTGGTCAGAGCTTACACTGCTGCAGGCCAGGCTGTCTCTGCATTACATGACATCATGTATCATCGTTTTCAGGTGCTGGCCGAACTGCTTGTGGGCGTCCCTTCCCCAGGGGTCATACATAACCTTCAAACGGCTACTGACTTTGCTCTGATCACCACTAAAGCAGCTGCCCATACCCTGGGGGAGCACCACTTTTGGCTGAACCTGGCTAATATAAGGGGTGTTGACAATGTTCGCTTTCTTGGCGCCCCATATCCCAGACTAGTCTACTCGGAGACACTGACAGAGACTTCACCAAGGAGTTCTCACCAGTGAAGGAGCAGTCCAGTGCCAAAAAGGAGGACAACTACCTGTGGCCAAAGACTGCTAAGCTGACAGCTGCCATGGCAAATATTTCTCATCGTTCCTCCACCGATTCCCTCTCCATCGGGACAACGGCATTATCATTATCACATGAAGGTGACGTCCCAACCTCAGGGAGCCGCTAAATACATTAAATGGACTGTGAATCAAAGCACTGCTTAGCTCATCATGGTAGGTAATTCAGAAGATCAGACTAGGCTACGCAATTCAGTTATTCCGATAGCCTCCTAATTTCAGAGGTATGCAATTTACTGCGGTGAAGCAGTAAAAAGTACAAAAATCTTTTTCCTCAGGCTCTCACTGTCTCCATGAATCTTTATAAATGTTGAAGCAGTTGAAAATGCACAGGGACACAGTGCTCGTGCACCTGAGCCAGTTGGCACTTCAGGTCAGCTGAGAGAAGAGGAGAGCATCTCTTTCCTCTGTATGGAGCTAGACTGGTGCTGCATGTGTACATGGACAAAATTCAGAGCATAAAGTCCTCTGAGCAACTCTTTGTCTGCTCTGGCAGAAGGGAAGTGACATATTTAAACAATGGTTGTCCAATCAGGGTGAGCCATGTCCCGTGGGAGTGAGAGCACATTCTATCAGAAGCTTCAAGCTATCATTGCTTGGCTACGGTGAGTCTGCCCTACATAGGTGGACCCATAGACATTATATAACATATAGCCAGACGCTCATGATTTGATTTGGTCCGTTGTTCCAATATGTCAACGTGGCTGCCATCTTAAACCGGACATCAGTGTGCCATTAACAAATGCAACTGAGCAGAGGAGCTGCCGTTTTCTTAAATATAAAATACAATAATGCCTATATTTATTAACTGATTATAATTTTATGGTGATAGTTTCTGTGCCATAATACTACTACATACTACAAGATAGAAACAACTGAAATACTAAAATACTAGTGTTCTAATATTTTGGGCTCTAATCCTACATGAAACAATACTATAGTAATTTATAGCAAATGCTATAGTATTTTTGAACCATACTATAATAAATTGAATTTATCTTGTGTGATCCTATAGTTGCTATGGTAACAACATTTCTACAATTATAGTATATATTATACTATAATATTCCACGTTACTGAAGTAAAAATAAAGTATACTTCAGTATTTAGTAGTTTATCAGATCAATTATAGTATGATAAAATGTTCATTAGCAAAGGGTTGTAAATACTAAAATGTATAAAGTGTAATACACTTAGCATATAGTTCAAAATAACTGTAGCATTTAGCAAACTACTAACAATACAAGGCAACACTTTATTTTAATGGTCCATTTGAGAGTTAGTAGACTATCTGCTCAATATCTGTTGATGCTGCTCCTTCAACAGACATTTAACTGACTATAAGAAACTTCGCAAGTACATGTCAGCTTACACTAAGCCAAACCCTAACCCCAACCTAACAGTCTACTTATAACATGAGAATTAGTTGGCATGTAGATGCAATGTAGCTTAAACTCAACAAACGGACCATCAAATAAAGTGATACACAATATTGTATTTTTTTTTTAAATAAAATGAAAATGGCTATGTATGCCATGATTTTGGTGCAGTGCTGATGCTAAGCTGCTACACTCCATAATCACAAATTAGACAGAGAAAGTTCTCTTGTAAATGAGAAAATCCCTACCACTCTCCCCTCAACTGTTCTTATTTTTTTATTTGGAAAGCTTCAATTAGTGGGAATATTTTGTCAATACTGCCGTTTATATATATAAATATTTTCATTACTGCCAATTTATTTTATAATAAAATGTAAGTTAAAATATATTATATACAAGGTAAGCTGACATTATAATTTTTAGATTCACAAAAAGCTTTCAGGGCTTGCTCATATCTATTGATTGTTAACATTTAGGTTAAAATCACTAAAAACGGAGTAAAAAAAAATCATTCTTGCCTGTGAAATTTAATTTCCTGAGACAAGGGTTACTCTGGGATGATCTAAACACCCCCAATAAGCACCTCCGTAAAGTTGCCACCCCATAAAAACAAATAATCCCCAAAACTATGCCATTCGTTTGTGCTACGTTTGTGCTGATTTGTGCCGCAAAAACGAACGTGTGTGCTGGTTTGGGGTCTGAGATATTAAGCATTGCTCGGTTTGTGCCGTTAAACGAACTCATCTGGTGTCTTTCGTTAGTGCTCGGTTTGTGCCGTTAAAACGAACACGGTATCTGTTTTGCTCTTTTAGATATAATAAAAAAATATTTCGGGAGCCGTGACGTCACTCTCCACCCCAGGTTGTCTAAATCACACGAAACTGGTGTCTTTCGTTAGTCCTCGGTTTGTGCCGTTAAAACGAACACGGTATCTGTTTTGCTCTTTTAGATATAATAAAAATATTTCGGGAGACGTTACGTCACTGTCCACCCCAGGCTGTCTAAATCACACCAAACTGGTGTCTTTCGTTAGTGCTCGGTTTGTGCTGGTTTGTGCCGTTAAAACGAACTCGGTATCTGTTTTCCTCTTTTAGATATAATAAAAATATTTCGGGAGCTGTGACGTCACTCTCCACCCCAGGTTGTCTAAATCACACCAAACTGGTGTCTTTCGTTAGTGCTCGGTTTGTGCTGGTTTGTGCTGTTAAAATAAACACTGTATCTATGTTTATTGTTTAGATGCCTGATCAAAACACTTCGGGAGCCGCGATGTCACTCTGCGCCCCATTATTTCCTCTGAATTGTACAAAACTAGTGTCATTAGTTTGTGCTGGTTTGTGCCATTAAAATAAACACTGTGTCTGTTTTTATTGTTTAGATATTGTTAGATAATCAAAAGGAATTCGGGAGCCACGACGTCAAACTGTGGCCTAAATCGCACAAAACAGGTGTCATATTGGTTTGTGCTGTCTGTGCCCTTAAATAAACACGATGTTTTCGTTGTTTATGTATATCTATAGATATAACTAAAATATTGGTTAGATTTGTGCTGGTTTGTGCCGTTGAAATGACCATCAGATATTTATATTCGTGCATGATTTTATTGTTTTCGTTTGCTCACAATTTGTGCTCATTTGTGCTGCAAAAATATTATTTGTAGGCCTAAAAATAATATTAGCTTATTTTAGAGGTCTCTCGACCCCAGTTGCGTTTTAAAGCTAAAACATATTAGTGTAAACGGGGCCTAAAAGTTATGCACAAGCTTGGTTTGCAGTGCCAACTGCTCAACACTCGTAGCTTCTTAGTCAGGATTTAATCTGAATAATCTAAGCATCAACGTATCATCAGAGCTAGAATTTTGCCCCCTAGGTTAAATAGTTATCACTTTGTAAACCTCAACCTGCTTTCAGTCATCTTTAAATGGGTGCATATAGTAAATAAACATGTTTCACATTAAAATTACTTTTAACAATAATCCATAGCAAATAATTCAACTCATACTTTGAGTATTTAGAACAGACACTTTTACTCTACTTTCAATAAACGTTTTACTTGAGTATGATTTGTCAGTACTTATTCCACTACTGCATGTTAACGCTTATATTATGCACTATTAACCCTGATTAACAATTACACATTTCTAGCGGTTGGCGCTGCAAACCAAGCTTGTGAAGCACTTATGGAATACATACAATTTGTACACGTTCTTGAAAATGTAACATTGAGAAGTGTATTGAGTTGTTATTTAAGCATTTTCCTTAATTTCAGTCACATTCCTTGACTTTAGTAAACATTCTTTATCTTATGAGTGACATGCAGTCATCTCAGTCTAAGCAGATTCTCAATCATTGCTTGTAGCGATTTTGCATCTTTCTAAAATGCTTCCACATTGTACATGCTTTCTGCAAATACCTATATAAAGCATCTATGTCTTGAGGTTTGTCTGATACTATTTTTCTATGCTCAATTCGATCGGATGAGAATGAGGAGAATGATTATTCAAAATAGTGAATAACCAGACAAGAAAAAAATAAACTAGTGACTGCAGGTTGAAGAAAAAAAGTGAAGTGAATGTACAGTAAAAAAAATTACTCAAGTACACATTCCATTACAAATTTCCTTCACAATGTCAAATAATTAAACAGTCAAATTTTCTGTCTTTATCAACTTAAAACTTTGAGTTGAAAGATTGAGTTACCAGTCTTGTTGTCAAGCAAACAAGTTACCTACACAAAGCAATAGTTATCCACACAAAGTTGATGAACTAATTTGATTATTAAATTTAAGGCAATAAGTTTCTATGCATTTATCTAGTAATGTGAACAAGACGACTTGTCTTGTTGTTTTTTTTTTTAAGTTAGTTAAGTGTATGAAGCATAACTACAATTTGTAAGTTGACTGAACTCTATTCAACTTATTAAATTGAGTTACCAGTACTTATATTATCTAGCAACAAATACAAGAAAATAAGTTAACTACACAACGTAACAATAAGTTTTAAGTTGTATCTACTCAAAGTAAACACTAAGTAAACTTGTCAATTTTATCATAAATAGTAAAAGGGGCAGAGCTTGGGTAATGCCTCAGATATGCAAGTATACAGATATGGACATAAATTAAGGCAGTACTCACACTAAGTACAGTTGCCTCGAACCGGGCCAAAGCACGCTTGTCCCCCCTCCCGTCTCCCGCAACGGCCCGCACTCACACCACAATCGGGCCTGGGCACGTTTAAGTCATCGATGCTGCGCTGTTTAGTGAGAAGCGCTGTCACTCAGCAGCACAGTGGAGATTTCTCTAGTTATATTGTTTCAGTCGGTTTGATATTCAGTCGGTTTGATATTCAGTCGGTTTGATCCGCCACTTTTGGCACTCATAAACATTCATAAAGCCCTCGTGCTGCAGGAATGAGGAGGTTTGCTGAAGGCGCACAGCTGTCGTGCAGTACGGTTTGCGTATTAAATAAGCTACGGCAGTTTGCGATCACTGAACAGTAAGAATGATTAATAAATCCATATAAAACAGTCCCTTAAAAGTCACGTCTCGCTTTCAGTTTCGGGCTTTGGCGCGTTTTGCACTCACACTACAAACATAAAACAAAGCCCAAGTGAACCGCGCTCAGGCCCACCTCTTCCAACCGGGCCAGGGCTGGCCAAGTGAACCGTGCTTGAGCCCGATTCTGCGCACTCGCACTTCTTAAACGATCCAGGAAACGGGCCTGGGCACGGTACGGATGGCATAGTGTGACAAGGCCTTAAGAAAACTATGTTACTTAGAAAAATTAAACCAATCAAATGTTACAAAATGTAAGGTATATGTGAAAATTGGAATTGTGATTAGATTGCCAGAATGCAAATACAGCATTAGTTTTTCCTGCATTATTCATAAGAATTTGGACTATATTGTAAATGAAATGGCATTTCAATGGGTAATTAAAATGTTACATTTGTCTTTAGGAGTTTGTTGTCTGTTTTTATTGTTTTTTTGCCTCCTCTCTTTGCACCCTCAACACACCCACTCCAATAGTTTTAAGTCTGTAGTTCAAACAGACATGTACAAATAGGAAAGACAAGGTAGGTGGCTGGGGCCCACGTTTTCAAGCTTGAGATTTCTAACAGAGATGTCAGCAAAGTTTTAAGTATTGTCCATGTTAAAAGGCAGCTAGCTAAATAGGATTTTTTAAGTAATTGCTAAACAGAAATGTCATAAATGGAACTTTAAAGCCATTATGACCATGGCAGCAAAAATGTCACTGACAGGTCACTGTCAAACAACACTGGGCTGCAAGTTTTTTTCTTTTATGAATAAATTATTGATTTTATTACACCCTTTTAAACCCCTATGTACTTATTTTTAAATTACCTATTTTTAAACAGTAGCAGATTGCTCATTGTTACAAAGATGGCATGTCTTTTTTGAGTTTGTTGCTTTATAATTTGTCCTTAGAATATCAAAATAAACATCTGCACTGCCCTTTCCAATTGAACCACAAACACTATTTTCTTGTTAAAACATTTTTTTTTATCACACACAGATGAAAATAAGAGAAAAACAGTACCTAGGACACCTATTGTTAATGAACGCTTGTGTTTTTGAATCCTTTTCTTGGAGGCAGTGAGATGTTTGAGCCTGTTCCAAATCGTTTGCTCTGCCTTTTCTCTGTAAGAAAAAACAAATAACATAAATCTGAATGCAAAATGCATGAATTATACTTAAATGTTAAGTTTTTATTATTATTATGATTTTTAATAATATTGTTTTTCTAACCTTATGGAGCAAGTGACAAGCAATACCACATCTGCCTACAAAAAAAAAACATCAGATTAACAACATTACAGGATTCCCACTACAAGCAAAATTTTAAATTCCCTTACTTCACTGACTTAAAACCTAAAATTGCATGACCTACAATGAAAAACAAGCAGGTGTTGTGTTGAGCAAAATTGTGATTCTGCAATTGCTGAATATACCACAAAATCAAGCAAATGGCTCAAGATGCCACATATTTCCTCTGAATTTTGGCCAGCCAGGACACTGTTCAAATACCTGCTCGACAATCTATAATGTTTTATAATAAATGACAATATATTCACATGTAGAAAGGGCTCATCCAATATGAAATACCTTGAGTTGTCTTAGACACAGCACAGCATTGTGCTTCTTAGGCATGTGACCACTAGACGAGTCAAGAGACATTTACAAAGCACATTCAGCCAAAGACTATTTGAACATGGCTTTATTGACCATGTATATGGCCAGTATAGGCCACATTATATATGTGTGTGTGTGTGTGTGTGTATGTATATATATATGTGTGTGTGTATGTTTATATATATATATATATATATTAGGGATGTGCAGAGCAGCCAGTATTTGTATTTGTATTTGTTGAGGGGGGAAAAGTATTTGTATTTGTATTTGTATGAGTAAAATTCAAAATGGCGCAAAAATGTATATTTTTTCTATTACAATTCTAATTTACGTTATAGTGAAAGTATTGTTTAATTATACCCATTATATAAATTAAAGATATGCAATATTGGTTGTTGTTTTTGAACATGTGACAAGAAATGTCATTGAAAAGAAAATAACATAGAAGTCATTATCTCATCCATGGTTAAACCAACAACTAATAAAATACCATTGTGAATATTATGAACCCCACCACCACCGTTCTTGTTGAAGGACACTGAATAGACAGAATAAAAACAAATAATACTTCAAAAAACTGTTCTTCTTCTGAAAGAACTTCTTTCCAATGGACAGAATTCCAAAAACTAAAATTAACTAAATAAATCTAAATAAAACCCTGCCTGGGAGATCTGGCAGAACAAAAGTATTCTATATAATACTAAAAGATACAGCCCTGCTATTGTCATCTGCCAGCCACAAAACCGACACAAAGTTTTATTTTTTTTTTATTTTATTTTTTTTATGTTTGAAACTGACTTGCTGGGGCAGAATGTGGCTGTGTTGATGGTTTGGTGCTTGTGGAGGATTTAGCAGAACATAGCTGTGCTGATTGAGGGGATTGATGCTTGTGGGGGGTTCACAGACAGTATCAGGAAAGGATGCTTTTAGTGCATGTGATAATACATTACATAGAAGGTTGCGCGGTGGCACAGTGAGTACCACTGTCGCCTGACAGCAAGAAGGTTGCTGGTTCGAGCCCCGACTGGGTTCCCCCATGTTGGCGTGGGTTTCCTCCGGGTGCTCCGGTTTCCACCACAGTCCAAACACATGCAATACAGGTGAATTGGGTAAGCTAAATTGTTCCTATTGTATGAGTGTGAAAGAGAGTGGATGTTTCCCAGCACTGGGAAACATATGGATGTTTCCCAGTGCTGGGTAGCAGCTGGAAGGGCAGCCACTGCGTAAAACATATGCTGGATAAACCCCAGATTGATAAAGGGATTTAGCCGAAAAGAAATGAATGAATGATTATAGATAAAAGATGTTGACAGATGTTTAATATCTGCCTCTGCTGATTTCACTTTTGCACACATTATACAGTATCACTTTGTTTTATCTGCAGCTCCACTGACTGTAAAATGCTTCCACACAGAACCTGAAGGTTTTTTTTCTTTTGACTGGTGGAGGACCAAGAAATGGCTCAGCAGCAGTCTCATTTTTTTCATGGTGCCCAAATGTATTTGAGGAGATTCAAGTTAATAACAAGTGACGGGAAGCTAGGCTAAGGTTAACTTAGCCTATAGCATATATCTTGCTGTCTGCAAAAGACAGTAATTTAGACATACCATATAACTCCCATAAGTGCATACTATTTGACACAACTGCAAAAGCATCGTTTTAACCTTTATAAACAAACGTTAACGTTACTCTGTCAACAGTCTATTGTCTGAATTACCGCGCTAACAGAGCTAACGTTGCGTAAACAGAGAGCACCCGATTGCAAACTTCAAAAATGCAGCGTAATAGAATCCCGAACAAACTCCGCTTTAACTCCGCTACAAGTTTATAAACTGCCTTTGGAACCCAATTAAGGTACAAAAATATATTTAACAAAAATAGCGATGCAGTGAAGTATTTTTTTCGCTCAGCCGAGCCTTCTGTCTGTTGCTGTGAAGCTTGTGTCAGACATCTCCGCCCCACCCTCCCACTACTGACTGAGCGCGTCTCTCTCTCTCTCTCTCTCTCTCTCTCTCACTCTCTTACTCTCTTACTCACTCTCTCACTCACTCACACGGGCATGCACTGTGGTCTCATGAGGAAACGCTGCCTTTTGATATAGTGCTTTTCTTGCTCCCGAATACAAATAATTTTTCAAGTATTTCTTCGAATCAAGTATTTGTAAAAACACGCTATTCGTGCCTTTCCGAATACTGTACTCGGGTTCGGCTCCACCCTTAATATATATATATATATATATATATATATATATATATATATATATATATATATATATATATATGTGTGTGTGTGTGTGTGTGTGTGTGTCTGTGTGTGTGTCTGTGTGTATGTTTGTTTATATATATATATATATATATATAAATAAATAAACAAACATACACACACACACACACTTATTTTTTGGTTATTTAATATATATAACTAACTTTCAACTACCAATAAAAAAACAAAAAAACAATCCTAAAACCTGTTTTAAACAAGGGAGTAAATAGTAATTGCATTTTCATTTTTGGGTATCTGCCCCTTTAACCCATCAATTCCTCTTAGGTATGACAGATACAAGTCCTGCACAGTGGCCAGCTAGACATTGTTTAACTTCACTTTAACGTTCATCAAACCACTCTGTCAGCAGTCTTGCTTTAAGTATTGGTGCATTATCATCCTGATTGGCACCACCATTGGGTGAATCATTGGGTGCACATGGTCCTTTGGGTAGTATAATAGCTGGTTAGTAGGGCAGGGCGATAAAATCGATATCAGTATTATTGACCTAATACCATTGTCAATATCGATAATAAAAAAATTTCAGTATAAAGCGCTATAGTTTTGTTAAAATGTGGCTGCTAAGCGCACGCCTTGGAAGCAATGTCAATAAGCTTAGGGTGTCAGTTCATGGTTTCTGCTACATTTATTCTCTTACACCTAAACTCATCCCACCATGGCTACATTACAGCTTCTCTTTCAAAACATTCAGTCATTGCTGTTTTTTGAATAGCGGGTTATAAATCGCACCAAAACGTGTTTAAAAGGTAAGTGAGTTATAACAGTGCAAACTTTTCTTAACTTTTAAACTTTGTTTAACCCTTTAAGGTGACATGCTGACTAATGGTATGAAGCAGGCACCTGCACACATAGGGCTCAACCTGTGCAGTGCACATGCCCTTTTTAGTCTTGGATAGAAAGTGCCCTTTCAAAATTATCAAAAGTGCCCACGCGACGCGACACACCCTCCGTCCCGCCCTTCAGTAGGCGCACGACAACACTGATCTTGAGTATGCGCGCTCAACCCCCCTCCCCCGCTTTACAGTATGCGCGCGACAACACAGCTGATCAGAATGCGCGCGCAACACTGCTCTTCAGTACGCGCTCAAAAACTACACATCCCCACCGCCCGGTCTTCAAAAAATTGATCCTGCACATGCCCTTTTGATGGTCTCTGCATGGGCCTGGTATGAAGGTATGTTGGAGACACACTTGTTACATAAATGCACTAAATCTCGTTCAGCAGCATTTATTTGAGAGTACATGAGTAAATCTGCACTTGAGCAGGGTATATTTGAGGGGGCGTGCAGGAATTTTTGTGCACAAACAGACGAAATTAGCGTGCAAGCAAAGAGATTCACATGCTCATATTACATTAATGCAATCTCAACTTGTAATACTGTGCTCAAGATATTTAAAATTAAAATGGAGCCATAGGTAGTTGGTAGATCTGTGTAAAAGGCCTGCCGCCACAGCTGAAAAAAAAATCCTAGAGGAAACACTGCAGTTTGTCATTTCTAATGGGAGGTGTGCAACGTGCACGACGTACACATGGGAGCGAAAAACCTGAAAAAAAAAAAATAAAATAAATAAATAAATTTATTAAGCTCGGGTACAATCTGTTTACACTGATCATTCTTGAGATGTTTCAGCAGATTAATTGTAGTTACCTGTGTTTAATTTAGTTGATTGAACATGATTTGAAAATGCATTAACCTGTTTATATTAGATCCCAGGGTTGGCAGCACGTCAAAGCACAAACCAAGCATGAAGTAAAAGAAATTATCTGTAAACCTTCAAGACAGGATTGTCTCGAGGCACAAGGCTGGGGAGGTTACAGAAAAATGTCTGCTGCTCTGAAAGTTCCAATGAGCACAGTGGCCTCTATCATTCCTAAGTGGAAGATGTTTGGATCCACCTGGGGCCTCAAGTATCAACGCTGCGTATGCAAAAAAACTTTGCATCCGCCAGATTTCACGCTCATGTTTGGATTTACTAACGATGAAATTAACGTGACAATGTGCATTGGTCCACACCAACTTCATGTCTGGCATTTATGCATTTCTTGTGTGTGTTTGTTATATTTCCATTGGTGACTTCTAGAGGCAATTATGTTAAATTGCACACTACAAAGCATCTTTAAACCGTGCAATGCCAGCAATAAATTTGCAAATAATATGGGATGCTCAAAAGTACTTAACAAATATTGTAGCAAGGCGGTCAACCCATTATTAATTCATCCTCACAAACAGCATGGTTTGCAGTAAATTGCGAGTCTACCTGTCACATAGACTCACAATTTACAAACCCGATTCCAAAAAAGTTAGGACACTGTACAAATTGTGAATTAAAAAAGAATGCAATAATTTACACATCTCATGAACTTATA